CGGGAAAGGCTGAGTCCCCAGGGGACGGCTTCTTCCTGCCAGAGAGATCTATCCAGAGTCCCTTAACCCAGAATAACATCCTTGGCCATTTTAAGAGTTCAGAGGGCAAAAAGGGGAGGAAGCCGGAGAAGCGGCAGCAGAGCCACTCTGCTGCCCACTGTGGCCCCCCACACAGCCTCTCTTCCCCTGGCCTCACCCCTGGAGGCTTCTCTGTGAACAAAGATGAGTCTGGGGTCCCTGTGAAGCCCACCTCACCTCCCCATGTCAGGTCTGCCGTATGGGCCACACCACTGTCTGCCCCGGGAAGCACCTCCCGCTCCCTGTAAGGAGGGTCCCTATTACTCATGTCTTTTTGTACCGTCTGCTGATGCTACTGAAGCACATGGCATGTGAGCCGTCCCTCCTAGGAGGACAAGGACCTTGTTGTAGCCATCTTCTCTCCCACCACAGTAATGGCCACTGGTATGGTCAGTTCATAAGGTCAATACCTAGAGCAGGGACTCCCCAGTGTGGAGGCCTGAGGCGTTGGCTGTAAATCCAGCTGCCTCCGCGGAGGGCTGATGGAGCGGGTCTGGAGTCTTGCATTCTAATAAGCACAGTCTGGTGGCCCTGACGGAAGTGCAGGAAGGACTTTCACACTGAGATGCTCAGACCTGGTGCAGCCAAACCCGACGAGGCAGGACTGGTGACGGTATGTGACGGCTCACCCCTGTGACCCAAAATGGAAGCCTGCACAACCTCACTAAGCACCTACTGTGTGCCAGGCACTGCAATGTGCACTCCTAGAATCGCAGACACAGCCAGCGCAGGGTCTTGCAGCCAAGAGTGAGGGATACAGGTACTTGTCCATCATACTTGTCCATCATTTTTAGCCTATAAAAATGCTGTGGGAAGGCCAGAGGGGAACAGAGGGGTCAGGGACCCCTGGGCTTAAAGGAGGCAGGACAGGTTTTTAAAATTATTTTCCAGGAAGACAAGGGGGAGAAGGGCACCCCAGGCAGCAGGAACCTCATGAGTCCAACTTTACTAGCTGCCAAGTCCACGGTTCAGCTGAGAAAAGGGCCAGAGGTCTGCTGTGGGCTCCGCCTCCCCAGAAATACAGACCAAGTGGTGTGTGGGAGCTGGCGAGGGCTAGGTGATAACACTGCATGTGGCTTGCGTGCTTAAAACACTGATATCTGTGAATTTCCACCACAATCTGTAAATCTGTGATTTTCCTTAAAAAAAAAAAAGTGATTTTTTTCTTCCAATTAATATGGCCAGTGTCTATAAATAAACCAACGTCCTATCACTGCTCAGAGCTGCTCAGATAGAGGTCCAGGTCTAAAATCCTCCCTCCTCCACCACCTGGACCACACATCTGCAGGAGTGACAGTTAAACTCCACTGAGTGGCAGAGAGGTGGCTATGAACGGCGACAGCAGGTGGACCCTGCCGGCAGGCCAGCCAGGCCAGCCAGGTCAGGGCCCTGGAGGAGGGAGGAGCTGGGAAGCAGGCAGATAGCCCAATAGGCTGTGGGTAACGAGGCTGGTGCTGACCAGAGCCTGGAAACAGAGGGACAGACACAGGAGGGGATGGCTTCGACTTGGGCAAGTTTCAAAGGGTCATGGACAGGTCAGAGCAGAACACCTGGGACAGAAGATTCAAGGACCAAATGGAAGGCAGACAGTGTGGTGGGCCTGAGCCACACGGTGGCAGAAAAGGAAGAGGGTGCCGAGAAAGCCGCTCGGTCACTGATAACCAGGAGACATTTAAAGCATCTGCGGACTTCCTTGGCTCTCAGAAGTGTCCAGAACTTGGGGAGCCGGGGCTAGAGGTGGTAGCCAGGGGGCAATGAACCCCTGTCACTTCTGGGAAGGGCAGTGGTGCTGAGGGCAGCGTTCAACGCCTTGAAAACTGACCCATGCCAGGCAGGGCTAGGCTGAGGAGCGAGCATCAGGAAGTGAGACCCTGGTGCCCTCAGGCCGACATCCCAGTGACAGAAGACCACAAATGGTGGCAACACCACAGAGAGAATGAGGGGGGGGGGCTGGGCACGCATGTCAGCACGCGTGTGCCGTGACATCAGGGAAGTTCTGGGGAGCAGACACGCGAGGGCAGAGCCTTGCAGGGCAAGTGACCTAGCAAAGGGCAGTGGGAGGAGCCTCTGGGCAGCAGGAGGACCTTGGCAAAGGCCTTAGGGGATGCTGGAGGGAGAGCCAGGGGTCAGTGTAGGGGAGAGGGGAAATGGGAGCAGGGAGGTGTGAATGGAGCAGGAAGCGCAGTCTTGTGGCTGTGGGAGACCCTTCTGGCTTCTGCTCTGGGTGCAGCGGTTATAGGTGACTCCAGGATCTGGGATGGAGCACTGGGGGATTGGAGTTGCCGCCATCTCTCCTGCCTGAGCTCAGATGAGCAGGAATGGAGGAGGCACTTCCGCACTGGTAGGTGGGAGAGCATTAGACCTCACGGGGACAGGCAGCAGGAGCTGGGTCCACAAGGACAGTTGGGGGGGGGGGGCGCTTCAGGTGGAGTTGAGGCCCCAGTCGGGGGAATCCACAGGGACAACTCAGAAAGAGGGGTACCAGGGAAACCCACAGGAAACAGAGTGGCCTCCAAGAATCCAGAAAGGGCTGGGTTAGAAATATCAGCAATGTGGGAGAAACCCCCTCATCCTCTGTCTCAATTCAAAATGCTTCATCCTATACCCCTCCCTTAAAACAAACCAAAACAACTACAAGGGCTGGGGATGTGGCTCAAGTGGTAGTGTGCTCGCCTGGCATGCGTGAGGCACTGGGTTCCATCCTCACCACCATATAAAAATAACGATATTGTGTCCGCCTAAAGAAAACTAAAAAATATTAAAAAAAAACAAAACCAACAACAACAAAACAAAAAAACCCCAAGTGTTACTTAAAGTTATTTGAAAATGCAAATAACTTTGATGAAGCATCTCCAATTCACCCAGGGGGGCAGTGAATCTAGGAACTTAGGCTGCTGCCTTCCTCCTGAATTCTCATAAGTTGCTCCAGAGACCTTGGCGGGGGTGTGGGAGGATCTGGTAACTTGGGATCCTGGCAAGCATGAAGTTAAGAGTCAAAGACTTGTTGAGCACTTCCTCCAGGCTGGGCGCCTGTTGGGGTTTTGCAGTCAGTGTCCTCAGGGAACCCTCAGAAGCACACTCTGAGCTGCCTTCTCAGTGCACAGACGGCTGGGGAGGCCCAGACTTGCTCATCCTCCCCACACAGCAGACTGGAATGCAGGACAGGCCAGAAGGCAGACGCAGGGGGAATGTTAGGTAGCTGGATGCTACAGAATCACAAAGGAGGTCCCCCGAGGTTAGCTGGGCAGCGCTGCGGCCCAGAGAGGCTCTCCTGAGATCCTTCCAGGCTCTGCAAATGTTACTTCTAGGAGAGTTACAAATGAACTCCTAGAACATGGTGTGTTTACAGTCCTCAGGGGAAGGGGGAGCAGTCCACATAAATACAGAGCATTCCCCGGAAAATCAAAAAAGTCCAATAAAAATCATGAGATGATTGATTAGGCAAAATGAATTCATATGCACAACGAGGAAACTAATTATGACTTCTAAATGAACACGGCTGTTTCTATTAAAGATTTGACAGTGTGGCAATAACATACCTCAGTTGATGACTGACTTCATAGAAAAAAAAATGGGCAAATCAGCAGTAGGAAAGACACCATTTGGGTCCTCGCTAAAGTTCCATATTCTTATCTTAAAAGATACTAGAAATTCTTAAAAACTGTGTGTGGTCATAGGATACTAAAAGTCTTAGACCATTCCTACAAGGTGTTGTTCTGTTGTGTAGACTGAATTTTGACCTGCTTAAAAAGAAACTTTCTTTGTGTTCTTTCCCTGGGTCCTCTGCATCCACAATTTAGGACATGGGTGGAGGTTGGATGAAGTGAAGGCAGGTACCACCCAACAGCCTGAATACAGCACAGCTTGGAAAGTGAAGGCACCTGGTGGGACCTGCTGCAGCGTGCCCACACCACTCCTGTTGTGAGCCAATGCCCCACCATCCCATAACCCCATAGCCAAAGTGAAAATGTTTCGAAAACCAGACTCACTCCACTTCTCCCACCCCGCAACAAATTTGGGTCCTCAGAAAACAAACTGGCTGCAAGTGTCAACTCTTCAGAGATGGGTGCTAGTTCCACTAGGAAGAAGGGACCCTGTTTGTCTTTAGAAAGTGACATGCCACTTTCTGAAAATCTTGCTGCTGGTTCATATAAGGCTCTTTAAAACCACAGCTGTGCTTCTGTGGAATTGTCTCATTATCGCATACATTCTCCCCCGCCCGGTGACCCCGGCCCGCGGTAGCCCCGAGTTCCAGCAGAGTTTCCACCGGCTTTGGGGGTCCACCCTGAGGGGTCCTCACTGGCCGCCCGTGGGACCCAGGGAAGGGCTGTGCACTCCCAGGTCTATTCCCTCCTCAACATTTTCCCGTGTCCCTAGGCACAGTTCTAGGTCCTGGGATTTTTTTCAAGCGTCCAAAAAAAGCCCTGCTCTGTGCCCTCGGCGGCGGGGAGGCCTTGAGGACTGGAGGTAAACAAGTTCGCGGTTGCCCAGGTCCCCCTGAGCGCCACCAAGGAGACTAGGCGGGACAGGTGGGCGCCAGCGGGTACTCTGGGCCTCTCTGAGGAGCGGCAGGCGGGCTGCCCCTGAGGGGGCTGTCCCTCGCGGGCAAGGGGAGAGTGACTCCCGGTGGAATCCCAGCGCGCGGCGGCTCCGCAGGAGGCGGGGACGGGGAAGGAGAAGGTGTCACCGCGGCCGCGCTGCCAGGGCTGGCCAACTTTGCCCGCTGCTGTCACAGCTCCGGGGGCGTCCGGGGCAGCGGGACAGCGCGGTCCGCCGGGGACCCTCCGCCCGCTCGCCCGCCCGGTCCCTGGGCGCTGGCCCGGGGCGCGGAGGGGGTGCGGCCGAAACTTGTGGACTGCGCTGAGGCGCCGCGGCCGGGCCACCTCCGGCCGAGACAAAGCGGCGGCGCCCTTGCCCCTCACCTGTCCAGCCAGAAGGTCCAGGGCGAGTGCAGCGGGACCCCGCCCGGCTCGGGCCGCAGCGCCGACGGCGGGGGCAGCCCCGGAGGCTCGGCGGCCGAGGCCGGCGGCTCCGGCGACTCCCGGGCCCCGGCGGGGGGCGCGGCGGCCGGGGGCAGCGCCATCTTCTCGGCCCCGCCTGCCAGGCCGCGGGCGCGCGGACCCGGGAGCGCCGCTGAGTCACCCGGACGCCCGCCCCGAGCCCCGCCCCGAGCCGAGCCCCGCCCCGAGCCGAGCCCCGCCCCGAGCCGAGCCCCGCCCCGAGCCGAGCCCCGCCCCGAGCCGAGCCCCGCCCAGAGCCCCGCCCAGAGCCCCGCCCCGCCTGCCACCCGCGGGCCAGGGCATCGCTATCAGGGCCAGGGCAGGGCCCCGCCACCACCCGCTGCAGCCCAGTCCCGCCCTGGCAGCCGGACCAGGCTGCACCCCAGCCGCCAGCCAGGCGCCCTCAAAGGCAGGCCCATGCTGGGTGCCGGCAATTCTGCTGAGGTGCCCCGCAAGCCAAGCGACCCGTAGGAGTGAGGGACACAGGAAAGGCCAGGGGACGGCTCTGCAGCCGGCAGGAGGACAGCAGGATGGAAAGGCAGGCTACAACAGATGGAGGCCAGGATGGACCCTTGGATGGAGGCTCAGCCTCCCAGGGTGCAGAGGAGCAGGGACAGATAGACACACCCGCAGTCTACAGGATGGACAGGGAGGCTGGCAGATGGCTGGAGGAAGGAAGGAGGGGTGGAGGCACGCAAGGGCAGATGGAGGCACAGTTGGATGTGACAGATAGATGGAGAGCAGGGACCAATGGCCAAATGGATAAAGAGACTCCGGTGCCCAAGAAGGCAGAGACAAAGGGCCAGACAGACAGAGGGTGGACCAGACGGACCACTGACTCAAGGCATGAGGTGTAGCAGACCAGCTCTACATTGCACACGGTGACAGCGAGCCTCCTAACTCAGCAGATCTGAAGGGACCAGAGCCTCCTCCCCACCTCTCTGGAGTCACTATGTGGCCACAGAGAGCGGCTCCAACCTGACCCAAGTGTGGCCAACTTCCAAGAAGGGTCTCAGAGTCAGAGTACTCCAGCCCTTCCCCAAAGCATAGGCAAGAAAGGGGGAGGAAAGCAGGGCATTCTGAACAGAGCCCTGTGCTCCTCGGGCCTCTGCACACCTGGGGTGTCATTATGCCATGAGATGCCCAAGCTCCAGGTAAGAGGACCCTCCTACTCTAGCCCTGCCCAGGTCTGTTACTCTCTCTTTCAAAAGCAAAGCACAGGCATATGAACACACACATTGCCCGCGACATGGCTGTGGACACGCTCTCTGACCTTGAACTTCTGGACAGTCCCTCTCTGTCCTTGAGCTGAGAATGTGGACCTTTCCACTCACATATTTTCCACCTGGCCTAGGGCATGTTCTGCTCCTGACTTGAACGTCCACTGGGAGGGGGTAGGAGAGAAACTGGAAGATGAAATGGGTTCAGGGACTTCTTAGCAGGACAGGCTACCCTCAATCCAGGGTAGTGTCCTCCCCAAGAGATAGCCAAGGTGGCATAACATGTCAACGGAAACAGGATGGGTGCTTTGTAGTCCCTGCCTCCAGCATAATCTTATAGCAACATAAGACGCCAGAAGCAGAAACATATTCTCTAAAGCCCTTCCGCAGAAATCATGGGCTCCGCTGGTTAGACACAATCTCTCCTTTAAAACACAAATATGGCATCATGTAGGCTGTTCTGCACTTTACCCTCTTCATTTGTCTAATAAAAACAATCCAACGAGGAAGGTGTTACTCACCCTTCTTACATATGAGCAACAGAAAGGCTAAGTTAACCTAAAGGTCACACAGCTAGTAAATGATACAGCTGGGATTTGAACACAGGTGTTCAAAGACTCTAGGGTCCAGGCTTTCAATTGCTGGAAGCTAATGTCCAGATAATAAAAATGAGCCATGACTAGTCGGTCTCCTTTCCTCTCAAGACTCTCAATCTTCCTGCCCAGAGGAAACTGCTATTAATAGGTTCCTTCCAGAAAAAAAAAATGCAAGTAGGTACCTAAAAGCACAAATCTAGATTTATAAATTGTATCTCTATCTTTTTAATAATAGAAATAAAAGCACTTAATACCTAGGGTGCCCCTTCTCTTACTTAATATTCTTTGAAGATTTTTCACACCAAAACATCCACTTCCTCTTAAGGGCTGCAAAGTAATTCATTGTAAAGAAGTAATATGATTTAATCCCGTAGCCTTCAACATGAATACAGTTTAGAGACATTTTCCTTTGTAAATAATGCATTTTTATATTTATGTTTCTCTTGATCAGAATGAATTTGTCTCAGGATGAGTTTGGAGAAGCAGGGTTGCTGGCTGCGTTGAGACACTCGATGCATACTGCCATGCCGCTGTGCAAAGTGGGTACAGGGGTTTACGTGCAGCTGATTTATAAATAATGGTCAGCTGTGAAAGCTTATACTCACTAAGTGATGTATATCTAATTTCTAAGGCATGGGTAAAGGAAGTGTTGCTTTCGGATGATGAAGAACCTAGTCAAACTGTCAAATTTTTTGATTCATCTGCAGGTGCTTTAACAATGCACTCGGCAAGAAAGGACCCTTTTAATTTCTTTTTCTCTGTGGTTTCTATAAAAGAAAGTGGGGACCCAGGGTAAATTCTTTTCAGAGCTTAGACATAGGAACAGTTCTATGGAAAAGCAGTTACATGTCTCCTTCTGTTCTCGCTCTGGCCTCCAGGAGGCTCAAAATTCTATCTACTACTCAAGCAGAACATCGGGATGAACCAAGGAGGAAGCACCATTATTTTGATATTTATTCCTAATTCTATCAGAGTCACCTAACTGCATCTATGCACCTTCTCCTGGGCTGCTTGGGAAGTTGGTGGTCTAGAATCAAATCCAATACAAAGGATCTAAAGCTAATAAAAGAGGGCAGACCCCAGGGCTACATGGCCAAGGCAAGGAGGGAGCCAGAGCGGACTCTCCTCCCCTTCCTGCTCGGCATGTGTAAGACACTTAATTATTCTTATTGCTCTTTAGCATCATTAAAAGAAAACAAATCTGGAAAATTCCCTCATCTTCCCCACTTTGCAAGTGGACGGCAGGAATTCGAGTTTCCAGGTAGGAAGGGGTTTTGGAGATTCCCCTGAGCAAACCTACGACTTGACAAACGCGGAAACTGAGGCCCAGAGCAGCGAGGCCACTTACCTGAGGCCACAGCTCTAGGGAGGGAGGCGGGACTAGAAGGTGGGCGGCTTGAGGTCCAGGCCAGGGCGCTCCCCCACTGCATAACACGCCACACGGACGACTTGGGGTGGCAGGAGAGAGGAGGAGAAGGTGACCCCACAGCCCCTAGCAAGGGAAACGACAAGAAGGACTTGAGGCACTCATAAATAATTAAGCAATTAGCTGCAGCAGCGACTCCCTCCCCTCCAGCATCCAGTCACCAAGGCAACTTGGGCAGGGTGCCTGCTGGTTGCCTAGTAACCGTGTGGTCTGTTCCCCTGACATGCTCCCTAGGCATCAAAGGATTGGAGATCCAGGAAGAACCTGACCCAGGCATCACTATTCCAACACCTTTATTTCTCCAGCTGAGGAGATGGAGGCCCAGAGAAGCTGGGTAACTTGCTCAAGGTCACACAGTCACTCCGAGGCACAGTCAGCCTCCATTTCCAGGTCCTCTCCAGTGCATCCGGGCCACCTTGGGGAGGCTGCACAGGGAGGAGAGGAGGAGGTCTCCCCCTAGTTCCTAGAAGAGGAGGAAGTCAGAGCCAGTGAGCAAGCAAGCCAGAGACAGAGACCTTGAGAGCTCATGTGCAATTAGCAGGAGCTGGTAATCCCATCAGCCCAACTTTCACCATCACCATGGCAACATGGGTGAGGCGGGCGCTGGTTGCCTAGTTACAAGTGGTCCTCTCTCTTCCACTCTCCTCCTGCTCCCTGGGATGTCATAGGAACACAGAACGGTGGAGTTGGATGGGAAGGCAGGGATCCTAACTTGGTCTTCGCCTTCAAGCAACCAGGAAGCTGAGACTCAGGGACACCACGCAAGCCCCATAGCCACAGAGCTGGCTGGTAACCTTTCCTCCACTGAGATGACCTGCCGCAGCACTGCAAGAAGGGAACCTGCCCTCCATAGTCAGACAGGCATGGGAAATGCGGGAGGTCCTCCAGAGGGGACTCTACTCTTGTCTACCAGGTGGCAAGGCCACATACACAAAGTGGCACACAACGAGGTGCACAAGAACAGTGCCTACACACCCAGTCTCCACAACGGAAAACCCGAGCCAAAAGCCACTGCTTCCCAAGCCTAGCAAGATCCTTATGCTCTCTGCACCTCAGTCCCCACACCTGAGGAACGGGCAGCTGACAGTCCAGATTTCCAAAGCTGTCATTAAGATTTAAAGAGAAATGTAGCTGGGCGCGGTGGTGCGAGCCTGTAATCCCAGCAACTCAGGAGGCTGAGGCAGGAGGATGTCATGTTCAAGGCCAGCCTCAGCAACGAGGTCCTGATCAATTTGGCAAGACCCTGTCTCAAGACAAAATATAAAAAAGGGCTGCCTCAGTGGTTAAGTGCCCCTGGTTCAATCCCTAGTATCAGAAAAAGAGAGAAAAGATTCACCTCAAAGGTGTGGTGTGCAGTAAGGACAGAGTGAATGCTGGGTGGTCAGTAATTCCACGTCCAGTACACACTTGCACATGCCTGCTATGCAGACGCCCCAGCATGGGCTCTGGAGAGATCCACTAGTGAGCATGACTAAGGCGGAGGACAGACCCCCCTGCCTGGGGCCTGACATTGCAGGTGCGTGTGGTGATTCGGTGTCTGTTGCACGGCTGCAGGAACCCACTGGCAGTGTGTCCCGGGGCTCCTTCTCTAAGCCTGGAAGCTTCCTGTTTACAGGGTGTGATGCTATAAATACGCAGGCCTGGCTTCTCCGTGGGAACTCTGTTTTCCTTTCTGTTAAAAGCTCTCAAGAGAAAAGAAGGCAGTGGCCACTAGGTGGCAGACACCAGGTCCCTGACAGACAGCAGTGCCAGAAGGCAGGGGCCCCAGACTTTCAGCAGAGCCAGAGCGGGTCAGCCCCAGGCTGATGGCTGGGAGGCCGGTCCGGGGACACTGGGGGTGT